ATGGGTTGAAAAGCCCTGGTTTAGCACACATCTTTCCAATCAGCCTGCCTCGGAAGCAGGAATTCTTAATGGCTTAAAAGAGGACTACCACGAAGCAGGTGCTCCATCAGCGTAGGTGACGAGCTTTGGAACAGAGAAAATCAATTTGGGCAAAGAAAAGAAGAATTAGATGTGACCTCAAGGACTCTCAACCTCCAAGTGGCCTCCACGACTCTCCGAAAGGATGCAAATGACCGGCTGTCTGCAAGGGGTATAAATCCTTCCATTTCCCCCACCGTCCGGTCAGAGCTGAAGAAGCTTCTTGGAGGAGAAGCGAAACATCTTCAAACAAGAAAGTCCAGTTGCCTCCTGAAAAAATGCACCTTTGTGATAACTATGACTTGGATTGACTGAGAATTTCCATAGACATATAACATATGAGGAACGGTTGCTGGAATTGGGTATGTCTAGTTTAATGAAGAGAAGGACGAGGGGGGACATGATAGCAGCCTTCCAGTATCTCAGGGGCTGCCCCAAAGAAGAGGGAGTCAAGCTAATTTCCAAGGCACCTGAAGGCAGGACAAGAAGCAACACATGGAAACTAGTCAAGGAGAGAAGCAACCTAGAACTAAGGAGAAACTTCCTGACAGTGAGGACAATTAACCAGTGGAACTCCTTGCCTCCAGAAGCGGTGAATGCTCCAACACTGGAAGTTTTTAAGAAGAGACTGGACAGCCATTTGTCAGAAATGGTATAGGGTTTCCTGCCTGAGCAGGGGGTTGGACTAGATGACCTCCAAGGTCCCTTCCAACTTTATTATTATTATTATTATTATTATTATTATTATTATTATTATTATTATTACTACTACTATTATTATTATTATTATTATAGAAGCAACCTAGAACTAAGGAGAAACTTCCTGACCATTAGAACAATTAACCAGTGGAACAACCTGCCTCCAGAAGCGGTGAATGCTCCAACACTGGAAGTTTTTAAGAAGAGACTGGACAGCCATTTGTCTGAAATGGTATAGGGTTTCCTGCCTGAGCAGGGTGTTGGACTAGATGACCTCCAAGATCCCTTCCAACTTTTTTTTTTTTTATTATTATTATTATTATTATTATTATTATTATTATTATTATTATTATTATTATTATTATTATTATTATTATTATTATTATCATTATTATTATTATCAACCAGTGGAACCACCTGCCTTCAGAAGTTGTGTGTGCTTCACCACTGGAGGTTTTTAAGAAAAGACTGGACATAGGGTCTCCTGCTTGAGAAGGGGTTTGGACTAGAAGATCTCCAAGGTCCCTTCCAGCTTCTCTTCTGATTCTGAAATTCTAGTCCTTCTAGGTTTAAGAAGGCCATCCTCTCCTGTCCCACCTCGGTTTTCTCTTCTAATTCATCTGCATAAGGCTTGCGATCCTTCCCCACCTCGCTCTGAAGCTTTGCTACTGAGAACTGGATCTAGCACCAGAGGTGAGGTTTGACAAACATACAATAAAAATGCCTCTTAACTGTTAGTCCTTGCGACTTGGAAAAAAACAACAACAAAACCCTACAGTTCTATTAATACAATCGTAAAGAAGAGGGGACACTTTTTTCCATAGCAGCAATCTGTGAAAATGCACACACCACGAGATGCCCTCGTTCGGTTCGCTCGCACAAAACGCCGCAGCATCAGCTCATGAAAAGCCTCCATCTCCACCCTGGTCTAAAACAACCCGCAGCGTAGAAAGACTTGGAGACTGTTTGGATTTGAAATTTCTCAGAGGACACAGCGGAAAGGCCTCTCAAATCACCTTGCAATCAAAACACAGAGATTGCCTCAGCCGGTTTGCCAGAGAAGATTCCGCCGAGCTGTGCGCAAACAACAGTTCGACTTCCCCGATGCCCCTTGGGAGGTAAAGACAAGCCAAGCCAAAGTCAAGAGTCCCTGTTACAAATGCACCGGTCACTTCGTCCCAATCTGTTTACTCAAAGGATCCCTCAAGGCCGGCAAGACAATTATCGGAATGGGACAACTGGTCGCAGCCAGCTCGTCACGGTCAACTTGCCTCGGCCAGCTCGTCATGGTCAGCTCATCACGCTCAACTCGCCACGGCCAGCTCATCACGGTCAACTCGCCATGGCCAGCTCATCACGGTCAACTCGCCATGGCCAGCTCATCACGGTCAACTTGCTGTGGCCAGTTCATCACGGTCAACTTGCCGCAGCCAGCTCATCGTGGCCAGCTCATCACGGTCAACTTGCCATGGCCAGCTCCTCATGGTCAACTTGCCGTGGCCAGCTCATCATGGTCAACTTGCCTTGGCCAGCTCGTCATGGTCAACTTGCCTTGGCCAGCTCATCACATTCAACTCACCATGGCTAGCTCACCACGGTCAACTCACCATGGCCAGCTCATCACGGTCAACTCGCCGTGGCCAGCTCGTCATGGTCAACTTGCTGCAGTCAACTCATCATGGCAAGCTCGTCACGGCCAGCTCATCATGGTCAACTCGCCGCGGCCAGCTCATCACGGTCAACTTGCCGCAGCCAGCTCGTCACAGTCAACTCGCCGCGGTCAACTCATCATGGTCAACTTGCTGCAGTCAACTCATCACGGTCAACTCGCCACGGCCAGCTCACCACGGTCAACTTGCCGCGGCCAGCTTGTCATGGTCAACTTGCCACGGCCAGCTCGTCACGGTCAACTTGCTGCAGTCAACTCATCATGGCCAGCTCGTCACGGCCAGCTCATCACGGTCAACTCGCCGTGGCCAGCTCATCACGGTCAACTTGCCATGGCCAGCTCATCACGGTCAACTTGCCATGGCCAGCTCATCACGGTCAACTTGCCTCGGCCAGCTCATCATGGCCAGCTCATCACGGTCAACTTGCCGCGGCCAGCTCATCATGGCCAGCTCATCACGGTCAACTTGCCGCAGCCAGCTCATTACGGTCAACTTGCCGCGGCCAGCTTATTACGGTCAACTTGCCGCGGCCAGCTCATCACGGTCAACTTGCCGCAGTCAACTCATCACGGCCAGCTCGCCACGGCCAACTCACCACGGTCACCTCGCCACGGCCAGCTCATCACAGCCAGTTCGTCACGGCCAACTCGGCATGGCCAGCTAGCCAGGGGACAAGTCACTGAGAAGCAATTCAACAATTCAATTACTTAAAATAATTTTGAAAAAAAAAAAGATCTTCATTTTTGCCGTTCACATTTTATTGTCTCCCTCCTTTGGCACCCTTCCCTCAACGATTCTATTAGACCAGGGGTGCCAAAACTCGCAACGTCGCGTGACGCGTCGCGACGATATCGCAACTTTCTTTTCCCCATTGCCGGCAGTGGGGTGGGCGCGGTTTCGCCATGACGCATCCGGCGGTGCCCGGCGGTCAAACTGTGGGGACAATAAACCTTCTGAGAAAGAAGGTTTAAACGTATTGAGAAGAGGACGCTACTCGACAGGGTGTCATTAACCGGTCCTAGCTCAAACAGAACGCTGTTTAACCGGCACCGCTCAACAGTTTCTGGAGGTGTAAATATGTATCAGGAGCTCTATGTCCTGATGTTCCTGGGAGTGGGCCCCCCAGTTAGGAACAAGAAAATGTTCGCTTTTCTTTGACCTCTCCGGAAATGGACTGCATCTGCTAAAGAACCGGCCAACGTTAAGCAGCACCCAAAGCTTTGAGTCCTCCCTGCCCATAACTCTTATTTTCTGGGCCACAATCGTTCCTAGCCAAGGGTGCTTTTTCAGGAGGCAACTGGACTTTCTTGTTTTTCTTTGAAGATGTTTCGCTTCTCCTCCAAGAAGCTTCTTCAGCTCTGATCGGATGGTGGGGGCAACGGAAGGATTTATACTCCTTGCAGACAGCTGGTCATTTGCATTCTTGTAGAGCAGACATGTCAAACACAAGGCCCTGGGGGTCGGATGCGGCCTGCAAAGTGGTTTCATGTGGCCCGCGAAGCCATCCTGGAAACAGTGAGGGAACGGCCCCTGCTGCCTTGGCCCTGGCCCAGGCCAGCTGGGAGCCAATGTACAATTTTGTGGTGGCCATCTTGGCACTAGCCCCAGTGGACCATGCCTTGGCACTTGCCCCGGTCGCCCCCCCTTCTGCCAGAAACCCTCAGATCTGTCCCACTCCTGCCCAGGCCCCCACAGGCACCCTTGATGCGAACGATGTAGAGCTGCCCACGCCCACCCAGCAGGCCACACCCACTCCCTCCACGCCCACCCAGTAGGCCCCACCCTCCCTGGCCACACCCACCCGGCCCCCAAGGGCAACCGCAATGCTGATGCGGCCCTCAATGAAATTGAGTTTGGCACCCCTGTTGTAGAGAGTCGTTGAGGCCACTTGGAGGTTTACCTGGGTCCTCAGGGTCACCTGAGTCTTGTAAATGTGTGTGGAACCTTTTGGGCTGCGGGATGTTCTCTGCCCTACGTCCCTTCGCTGTTGAAAGACAGGCACAGGCTGTTGGGGATGAGTCTGTGTCGTCCGAATCTCATTTGTGCTTCAGCAGACTCATCCCGCACCCATTTGCACCACTCAGGTGACCCTGAGGACACAGGTAAGCCTCCAAGTGGCCTCAACGACTCTCTAAAAGGATGCAAATGACCAGCTGTCTGCAAGGAGTATAAATCCTTCCCTTCCCCCACCATATGGTCAGAGCTGAAGAAGCTTCTTGGAGGAGAAGCGAAACATCTTCAAAGGAAAAACAAGAAAGTCCAGTTGCTTCCTTGAAAAAAGCACCTTTGGGATAACCCTGACCTGGGTGACGGAGAATCTCCACAGACAATCGTTCCAAGCCACCTTCGGATCCAGCCAGCCAGCCACCCATCTGCCCATCCCACCAGAGGCAAACCACGGCTTTGAAGAGAAGAGAGGGGCTCCGAGGGTCTGGATTTCTCCTCCTCCAGGCCTCATCGGGGGGTGGGGGGGGTCCGTCCCCACCTCTGTCCGCGAGGCCCGGAAGGCCAGACCTCCAGGGCCCACCGGCGATCGTCCGGGGCCCAACTCACCGAGTTCCGTGGGCTTCAACAGTTCATCCAGGATAGTGTAGAAGGGAAGCTTCACCAACCGGACCTCAGGCTTTGCCGGTTTGACCGGCAACCGTCCGAGTCCGTTTAAATACTTTCCGTAGAGGGAGGGGTAGTCTATGTTGGGGGTAGAAAGACCAGTCCGGGTTACTGTGCTGTTGCGGTCGTAAGAAGGATGGATGGAAAGGGCTTCGGAAGGAGGTCGGTGCTGCGGGGCCGGCGGGAGCGGTTGCTGCTGCTGCTGCTGTTGAGGAGTTTGTCCCGGATCGGAGATCTTGGCGTACCGAGTCTCGTAAATCTCTTTGATCTTCTTGAAAAGTTCCGGGCTACAGTCAAACTGGACCAGCTGCAAGGCCCGGGTGACCAGTTCGTGTTTGAGTCCGCTCTTGCTCCGACCCACAAATCCCAGCAGCATCTGCAAGTCGGAGACCCGGAAGCTCATCACCATGTTCTGCGGAACGAGATGGGAGGACAAAGAGACAGACAAGCCTTGGCGTCAAAAGAAAGGAAGCAATCGGAGGAGGAGCCATCTAGCCCAAGTCTCTATGACCTTCGGCACGTTCCTCGCCCACCCCACCCCCAGCCGCAAAATTTTAGACCCACCCAGGTAGTCCTCGACTTGTGACAGTTCGTCGAGGGACCGTTTGACGTCGCAAAAAACGGCCCGGAAGGAAGTGGCTTAGGGCCGTCCTTCACGCTTACAACGGTTGCAGTGATCGTTAACTGAGATGCTTGACAATTGATTCAGATTATTGACCGTCGCAGAGTCCGGGGGGGGTCCTGCGATGGCCTTTTGTGACTTTCCGACAAGCGAAGTCAACAGGAAAGCCAGATTTACATAGCAACCATGTTATTAACTTAACAACCGCAGTTGTTCACTTAACGATGAGGGTCGTAAAATGGGGCAAAACTCACTGAGCAAATGTCTAGCTCAGCAACAGAACTTTGGGGGTAGAATTGTGGTCGTAAGCCGAGGACTATCTGTTCTATGGAAGGCGGCCTCTTCAGGGTTTCTTCTTAATAATTCTGAAGTTTATTCTGTGCATCACACCTACCTATCACCAGAAGGCATCTCTGCCCGAGGAGCCCAGAATTCGGGACTGATCAAGCTTTTTTTATTATTATTATTCAAACAGGGTTGGCCAAAGTCAACACTTCGCTCTACCCTTATATCAGTTTCCTGGGCAACTCTTAGCTTTTTTTTTTTTTTTTTTTTAAACAGCTCTGGAAGCCAACATCCTTCTGCTTCATTTCCCCATCTTGTTTTTCAAAATATCTCCAAAGGCAGCTGACCCCTAAATAAATAAATACGGTATCTCTGGGTCACAGCAAAGGACAGGACGAGATGGGACAGGACAGAATAGAATATAAAAAAATAGAATGGAGTGGAACGGAACGGAACAGAATAAAGAACAGAACAGAACCAGAATAGAATATTTAGTAGAACAGAATAGAAATAGAAATAGAAATATAGAACAGAAATAGAAATATAGAATAGAGTAGAATAGAATAGAGTAGAGTAGAATAGAATAAAAATAAGAATAGAATAAAGATTCTATAAGACAGGAAGGCACGAGAAAGAATAGAATAGAATAGAATAGAATAGAATAGAATAGAATAGAATAGAAATAAGAATAGAATAGAATAGAATAAAGATTCTATAAGACAGGAAGGCAGGAGAAAGAATAGAATAGAATAGAATAGAATTAAGAATAGAATAGAATAGAATAGAATAAAGATTCTATAAGACAGGAAGGCAGGAGAAAGAATAGAATAGAATAGAATAGAATAGAGTAGAGTAGAGTAGAGTAGAGTAGAGTAGAGTAGAGTAGAGTAGAGTAGAGTAGAGTAGAGTAGAGTAGAGTAGAGTAGAATAGAGTAGAATAAAGATTCTATAAGACAGGAAGGCAGGAGAAAGAATAGAATAGAATAGAATAGAATAGAATAG